GCTCAAGCTGGGCAGCCCCCGGCCGACAAGGTGCTGTCCCGTCCACGTTCCGCTTGTCTCATTGGGCACGTGAGGCTAAGGGCTGATCCCGAAAGGCGGACCGATAATCAACGCACCAGCGAACAACAAACTTAACCGAAACCTTGCGTGAAAGGTCTCTAGAAGCTCCCACACGGGTGCTCCGTTCATGCTTCTGCGTTGGATTTACACCACACTACCTTGAGGGTCAGACTCTTGAGTTGAAGGCTCTGGTTATGGTTCCCAAAGAAAAACCCTTTCGTCGGTTTGGGCAACCGCGAAGTATCTTGTGCCCTAAAGTTTTAGGCACTCATTTGGTAAACCATCTTTCCCATCTGTCTAGTTATCCATAAAAGAACGTAAAAGTTGCATACCTGAAAAAAAGTCATGTGCGGAGTAGCACACTAACTTTACGTCAGGCGCCAGATGCAATTGTGGATCTAAATAAGATCAACACAGAAGAATTAATAGATAAAATTCAGGGAGAGACAGAGGAGAAAATACGTGGAGCGATTCGGATCGAAGGTGAACTTCACTTGGTGTAAATAAGGGATATGTTTAAGGAAGATCGCGAGGAAGGAAGCATTGAAACAAACATGTGTGGTAGAACTCCATGTGCAAATGAGTTTACGATTAGAGACAAGTGATGCACTAATGAGTGACATTGCGGGTAGTCAGATAAGAAGAACAGCGGAAAGTGTATTCATTAGCAAAACAATGAGTGGAATTCTAGGTTTTGAATAAAAGATCGGTAATAAATGAGGTAGAGTAGACGCAAGTGTGGAGCAATAGTAGTCACAGGAAACGGCCGAGAAGGAACTTCCATTGACCCGGATGAGAATGATCAGTTTGCTAAGCAAACATTTCAGTCGCGATATGGGAGCCGGGTGTAATCCGAGCGTGGATAATTTCGACAGCAGACTCTCCTACCGCGCTCGGTCAGAGGCCTTTGCAATACCGAGTTGGACCTATTTTGTTTCCCCGTGGTTATCGAATTCAGTTGACCAGGAATGCGGAACTAGGCTAAATAAGTCGTCTACCTGTGGAACGATGAGGATGAAATCTACATTGATGATCATTCGACAACCTTCACGTTCTAGGAGCACCTGAATTTGTGTGAAGATAATGGTTAGTTTGTATGCATGCCTGCATGCATGCATTAATAACCATAAAAATGTTTCTCGACTTTCGTCTCAGTATAGTAGATAGATAGAATCAGATTTAACGTAGATAATACTGGTTGTATGATTTCTCATCGTTTCCAGTTACCCACGGCAGCACACTGGAGTTATAGTGGTCGACGTTCTGAACTACTTAGATACTCCAGTTTTAGTTCCCATTGTTCATCCAATGATTGACCACAACTGTTTGTTTTGTGAGATTAAATGAAACAACTTACAAGCGAAAAACTGTTAGGTTAAGTTATCAGGCTCGTAATCTGTTTTCAACTATTCGCTACTCTCCACAGGATCGGCTGAAACCATCAGGGAAAAGCTTTGCGCGCGAAACTTCAATGCACACTCAGTGGAACGATACACCTTACGAGCTACTTTACTCTCAAAAGCCTATCAGTCAGCCTGGTGAGTTCATCCCCATATTTCCGATCAATTTTCTCGCCATTTTGTGGCGAACTAAGATCCCGTTAAATTACCCTAGATAAAATAAAAGACACTCCACGGTCAGCTATACTCATTATTGAACCTGAGAGTGGTACACGTGTGATGGAAAATGTCCAGCCACGACTAATTGTCAGCAGACGTAAAATGTGTTCATGGGACACTATCAATGTGGTCGTAACCGCTCGGTCAAATTGTACCGTTCTGTATCAAATTGGTGAATATCACCGCTCTGCTCCTCGCTCCAGAGCTCTGTCAGCATTTTCCGTTTGGTCATCGACGAAATATTATGTTTGCAACGAGTGTTGTATTTTAGTAGTCGCATTAATCAGCTTGACTAGGCCATTAGGCTAAAGATTAACACGTCGAAAACCAAGGTATTTTCAACCAAAACTTCTGTCACGATACAACCCCTCTCGATTAGCGGGAAGCTTATTAAATCAATCAAGTAACCAAGCTGTACAATCAGACCAAACAGCCAGACCAAAGATAGAATCCAACTTCATGTAGATGGATTTGGAAGAGCCTTGCAACTCCTCAGACCGTTGTGGAGCTGTTGCGAAGTAAGCTTCGCGTTTATCAGACTTCCATCCATGCCATCGTCACTTATGGTTGTGAAACATGGCCACTAAGAGTAGGCCGCATCTGGAGAGTAAATTGGAGAGATCGGGTTTCCAAGGATAAAGTTCAACGGCGCGGCTGGAACACTGAGAAGCTTTATAAAGTGGTACAACGCAGGTGCCTTCAATGGTTTCGCCACATGCTCTGCAGCCCTGACGCTGAACTCTCGCGACAGACCGTAACCCCTGCACCGTGCTATAAATGGCTTTGCTGACGCGGTGGTCAAGACCTGGAGCAGTCCGATCTGGACGAATTTGGAATTACTGGGCTTCTAATCCGTATACGGAATTAGTAACGGGAACCAGAACTGGGTCTCATGTTGAGCAAACCTTACCGCCGATCGTCACGCATGGCTACCCTCGTAGAGACACCCAGAAAGCCGACTTATAATCACACAGTAGTTTGCCACTGAAAAGCAAAAGTAAAGTAAATTTCGTCCTTGTTGAGACTCATCAGCAACATGTACCATCTTTTTAACCCTGCTGTGACTAGCTGTAAATCTACAAGTGGACAGCCGAAATTCTTACCCTAGCAATTGTCCGCCTGGCTATGGTGATCCAAGATCTTTTTGTTTTATTCTACGCGGATTCACAGATACAGGATCTGTGCATTTTTGTTTTTGTGTAAATCTCATCGTTCGCGAGTTCATTCCATCCCCTTATTTTCGATACGTCCCAAAAAGACAACAGCTGTCCAGTTTTTTTTTTTCATTTACTTTCAGTCGCCATTATTAATGGAACTGCCAAGGATTGAGACCTACACAAGATCATGTATTACTCCCACATCACTGAAAGCAATGTACTCCGATTACTGGGAATCACGGGGAATGTTTATCCACCGGATCCACTCAGATTCTAACCCAGATGCGATTAGTGGTTTATTCGAGGCTCCCAACATTTGGGATATCTAGGTATTGCATCCCTGAAACCGTGAATGTGTTTTCGAAAGATCGAGCTCATCTGCTTTCCACTAGCTTCCGTCATAGGCTCGTTGTGATAGTAAATTATTCAAAAATTATTTCTGTTTAAAAGCATCTTTTTTGTACTGCGCTCAATCACTTTGCTTCCTCTTGTCCAAAGAACCTGATCCGATCCGATTTTCGATTTTAGCATCCCTGTTCAAGGAGCCGTTTTCACAGCCCACTGAGACCACGTTGACCGCTCCGAGTAAGTTTCATATCAGGATTGAATCGATGAATTCTCTCCCTCAATCATTTCTATCGACTCGCATTTGGTTTTTTCGGTATGCAAATCTCTTTCCGTGGCTGAATCCTACTGGACAAACAAAGTACGGTCACCGATTCACATGAGTTAACATCATACTATGCGCTTGAGTGATATATATATATATATATATTGATTTGAACTGACCATCCTTCAGACTTCACCTTCACGCACAATCCCCAGTTCTTCTGGCTAACCATACACTCGGAAGCACTAGACTCGAGTTACGCTCATCGGCAGTGCATAGCCACCGGAGTTTAGATGATATCTGGGTCAGTAACAATCTTCGATCCGGTTACAATCGACTTGTGCACATCTTCGGACCTAAACCGCTCCCTTTATTCTGTGTTATGTAACAATTACTTTTCTACATTTATCTTTTGCTACAATCTTCATGCTTTCGAACGCGTAATCAACAAACTGGGTTTAGCACGAGTGATTTTGCCTCTGGGGTTATATTTGTCCAATTATCACGCTAGGTCCATTGGTTGGGTTAAACCTCAGATATCATCATCCAACCAAAGTTTTCGTTTGACTCGGTCGACTTCAAAGCACTATTCGGTTCCGTTCTGCCAAAAGGAATGCCCCAGAAGTATGTTACTTTACCCAGGTCATTGTATTCACATACCTCTGGTAGCGTCAGGTTCTACGGTGAGCTAAACAGATCACTCGATATCGTCAGTCGTGTTCTTCGGGCGTGCTCTGTTTCGTCATTCCTGTTCAATGTCGTCGTGGGCGTAATGTTGGAGAACGCACTAAGCGACCTCCGAAATGTTGGCATTAAATGGGCAGTTGGAAAAACATTGTAATTTAGTGTACACTAAATGACATCGACCGTTTATATGTATGGAGGATGCGAATGACAATGGTTATGCGATGTTTATTATTATTATTATTATTATTATTGTTATTATTAAATTTGTTGGTCACATTCTCATCAAGATTGCAACGCGCTCAATTCAGTTGTCCTCACAGACGCTACGCTCCACATTTCGCAACCGGACACAGTACTTCTGTCACAGGCATCAACATGTGACTCCATTTCAGACTCAACAATTAAGCTGACTAGCNTTCCAGGTAGGCTGTTTCCCTGGTCTTTTGCGCATATATCCACGTCAGTATAGTCGTAGATAAATTTCGGTTAAATACTACATGGTTGCATACGGTTAATTTTTTTCGGTCCACAAATCTTTATTTGTCTTTATACGACATATAGCGTGATGTATTCACTGATCAGTTGTAAGCCCTTGCAGCTCTGAAATAAGTTCATTGCAACGTCAATTTCTTCCCATATTGTTTTCCGCGGTTACTAATCCATCAACCACTTTAAACTAGTAATCGGATGATCACCATCTTCTCTAGCAGGGGGTTATTGTATTTCGACTTTGTCACTTCTCTTTTTCTCTGTCTGTCATCGTTTCGATCATTGACTCAGATTCTCAAATGGAACACAACAAGCGGCGTCAGTTGTTTGAAGATTTTACTTCCTCGAACACTAAAATTCCCGCAAGTCAGTCAAATATCACACAAGGTATGTCGATCCTACCTGTTCGTTTATATTACAGTATGCTAATAAAGCAGACTAATAGTAGATTGGGGCTTTTTCTAGTTAGCTCGACGTCTAATCACTCTTTTTCTTGCATTCCACCTGTTCCGATTTGATGTTGAGATCGCTTTAAAGCCTCACTAAAACTTATCAGCCCCCGCCACTTTCCATTACATTAAATTAAATGTTATTATTATATTTGACACTTGTCTGGGGCCGGACTGTGTGCCAAACAAATCATGGTACAATAATGTTTATTAAAAAGAAAAACGTTCCATGATTGACTTATGGGCTGAATACTGCCAGATTGCTCAGACCAAGGCAGGTGAATTTTCTTGAGGAATTCACAACCGGAGCCTTTGGCTATCCAAAGCCTGACCTGCAAGGCAGCGAGGCGGTGTGCGAAAACCGCAATTTATTGGGAGCCGATGTCCAGTTCATCGTATCATTCGCCCTTCGGACGGGGTAAAACGTCCAAGGTGCTCAATACATCTCAATACCCAATTGAGCCGGTGACCACTGCCACAACCAGGAAGTTGTGTGTTTCGTACGCCTCCTCATGGTTGGTTTGGAATCAGGGTTTTTGGCCAACTCCCCTATGTGAACTACCAGTGGTCCTCAAACTCAGTTATAGCCCCGGATGTCGGTTTTTCGTCCTCTCAGTTTGATAGGAAAACGCCTCCGTCACGAGAAGTCAGTGAGTAGGGCTTCCTGAGCAGACGCTTGGTCTTATGGGGGAATTTCGCGAGGTTCAAGGGAAGGGTGAACAGCCGCAACCCTAGACACCCACCCCCGACCGTTCTGAGGCTTTTGGAGGCCTAAATTAAATGAATGTGCTTTTAGTGTTCATCTTTGTCCAGAGGTTTAATCACCGTTGTATACGAATTTTCTTCTCTTTGATCTGGTCATTTTTTCTCAAGTCTTGTTGCACAATGATTTATTTGATTGGTTCTCTTCTATCATAGATCGCCTTGAATGCCTCATTCGTTCTTGTGTCTCTACCATTGCACAACATTCTGTTGATCACACGTGTATGCATATGCGTTGCGAGTTTGGCAGCGATCAGTGAAGTTCGCCTCATTGTATTTCACTGTACAATGATGATGATGATGATGATGATGATGATGATCACACGTGTACCAACCCCATGGACGACCATGTGTCTACCACGGTCGTTTAGTACTACTCATTATGCGCGGTGGATTTTAAATTTTATTACGCACTACTCCCAAAGCGATGTATCTTTTTAACAATCATCTTTTTCAATACACGCACTCACAGGATCTCAGGAAGCCCATGAGAAACGTCACCAATTGTTTGCAGGCTGTAACAGTCAAACCGTACCTGGGGATGTAACTGGAAATGCTCTGGAGGACACAGTCCCCGTAGAAGCATCCGTATTAAGCCAAGGTATGTTACAATCAACGTATACAATCCATTTCATTCAACCGATTTTATAAGCGTGCTTTTTTAACTCATAATAAATGAGATCTTTCTTTGTTTCGTGAAATTTTCATCTTTTTACGTTAACCTTACGGTAAGCCTGGTTCCGAAGCAAACACACCGACGAAGGAAAACGAGAGAGTCGGTTACAAAATTAAATAGAAAAATTTTTTTACCGTTTTTATCACGCATTTTTGTCTATAGGTGTTTATTCCATAAGAAGTTTAAATACTGTTGACAAAATATTGAAAATTGGTTCTCTTAACTCGGGTGAACGGAATTCTATTTGGCGTGTTCGCCGAGCTTGGCAATTTGTTTGCTAACGTTTCATCACCAGTCCTCGAATTGCGTCACACACATCGTCGGCCAACAATCGCAGTGTTCATTGACCTAAAAGGAGCCTTCGATTCAGTTGACCGTGGAGCTCTTCTGGGGTCGCTACTCCGCAAAGGAATGCCGCGGAAGTATGTAAATCTATTGCGGTCATTGTATCTGCATACTTCTGGTGGCGTAAGGGTCTACGGTGGAGTAAGTAAATCGTTCGAAACCAGGAGCGGTATCCGTTCAGGGTGCCCTATTTCGCCATTCCTGTTCAATTTCGTCGTAGACGAAGTACTGGAGAACGCACTTACTGGTCTCCAGAACGTAGGTATTGAATGGTCGACTGGAGAAAAGCTGTCCTATTTGGAGTACGCTGATGATCTCGTATGCCGTCTTCTGCTTG